AATAAAAATAAAATAAATAAATCGTCCGCCACCTACAACACGCCCAACAATACCAACAACGGAAACAGAACTACCAGTGAACATCGACCCCTCGACGAAATCAGAAGTCCTGAATGCCATCAAAATGCTAAAAGCTGGGAAAGCAGCAGGACCAGATGGAATCCCAGCAGAAGCATTGAAAGTGGACCCAGAGACAATAGCGGACTTGATGACGCCATTGCTGGAGAAGGTCTGGAAAGAGGGCAAAGTATCCGAAGATTGGAAGAACGGACACTTATTCAAACTACCAAAGAAAGGAGACTTGAGTAAATGCAAGAACTGGCCTGGAATTATGCTCCTGTGCATCCCAAGCGAAACACTAAGCCGCATCATCCTGGAGAGAATCAAACAAGCCAACCTGGATGAAAAACTTCGACCGGAACAGGCAGGATTCAGGAGAAACAAGTCATGTATTGATCAAATCGCCACACTACAGATTATCCATCATTAAACAAAGCTTGGAATGGCAGTCACCTCTCTATCTCAACTTCATCGACTTTGAAAAGGCCTTCGACAGCGTCGATCGAGAGGTCATTTGGAAACTACTTCGCTACTACGGGGTCCCATCGACAATTATACATCTCATCCAACAGCTATACGACAATGCTGCATGCCAAGTAATCCACAACGGGAAACTTACGGAAGCCTTCGAAGTGAGGACAGGAGTGCGACAAGGCTGTCTACTATCACCAATGATCTTCCCGATTGCAGTAGATTGGAAAATGCAACAGAAGGCGGGCAATGAGGAAACAGGAATAAAATGGACTCACACAAAAAAAGGACTTGAAGGATCTGGATTTCGCCGATGATATATGTCTGATTTCCCACAAACTGGAAGATACCCAAGTGAAAAGCAATAAGCTGGCGATAGAAGAAGCATCAAAGATAGGACTTCAAGTGAACACAGATAAAACAGAGGTGATGAAGATTCCTAGCCAACATCAACAGCAACAACAACAACAGACAACAGTCAGCATAAATGGGAGGAACCTGAAAGAAACAGCCTCCTTCACCTACCTGGAAAGCATCGTTTCAACTACAGGCGGAACCGACGAGGATACCAAAGCCAGAATCGGAAAAGCAAGGCAAGCTTTCATTACTCACGTCAAGTCTGTGTGGAGGTCAACAGCACTACTCAGCATCAAAAATAAGATCCGGATTTTCAACTCCAATGTAAAGTCAGTGCTACTATACGGATCAGAGACTTGGCAAGTCATAAAGAGCACCTCAAACAAACTTTAGACCTTCATTAACAGCTGTCTTCGCTCAATACTGAAGATCAGATGGCCGGCCAGAAAAGATCAGCAACAGGGATCTCTGGGAGCGAACCAATCAGGAACCGATTACGAAACAAATTGGCAGGAAGAAATGGAGATGGGTTGGCCATACGCTGAGGAAACCATAAAGTGACATCACTAGACAAGCCATCGCTCGAGTGGAACCCGCCGAAAGGGAAGCGGCGAGTTGGTAGTCCAAAGGTGACTTGAAGGAGGTCATGTGAGGAGGAAATGAAAGCATGTGGGCAGACTTGGAGCGGAGTGAAAAAGTTGGCAGAAAACAGAAGGCAATGGAGGTGCGCAGCTGAAGCCATATGTTCCTCTAGGAACTAAACGATACAATAATAATAATAATAATAATCTTCCGTGAGCTGTAATTCCATCGTGATCTTACTTTACAAATTCCTAATAATAATAATAATGACGAAATGCATGTCAAACATGCGCAAGACAACACCAACAATAAGGAATCTACTAAATCATCAGTAGAAATTCCATACAAGGAAAGAACCTCGGAAACCACGTTACGCAGAATTCTTAACAAGGCAAGAATAAAAGTGGCTGGCATTCAAACCCCCCCCCCCTCACAAACTAAATTAGAAACAAGCTCTGTCGGTTAGAGGATCCTGTCTGTGGAGCCTTTAAAACAAAACAATTTAGTTTATCTAATATCCTGTGTGCAATGATTGTCAGTGAGGTCAAATACATAGGTCAAACTAATAGAACAGGGGCAATCAGACTAGCCGAACATAAAATCCTAGCAAAATCTAGATTGGCTGACCCGAATAAGATAAGAAATCTAGAGAATAGTTCAGCTATAACACTACACCACGTGGAATTACACACAACCATACAATTTGATGGGATGGGATAAGATGACAGTTGTAAAATCTAATGTCAGAGCAGGGTGGAGATAGGGAGAGATTGATAACAGAAGCTTTGTTTATCGAATCAACTGGCAGGGAATACGTGAGATAGGAATGATTCAACACCTGTCCAACTAGATATCTGGAAAATTCTACTACCACGCCTACGACGACAAATAGGAGGAGACAAAGAAAACTATGAAACTCAAGTTTCAAAGTCGTGTGATTATAATTGATGAAATGATTATGAACAGTGACAAATTTTGTTCGAAACTGTGTCATCCAGTAAATAATGAATACTGTTTCACTCACTGTGTGATACATCTAATAAACAAACTAATATGGAATTACTTACTGCCACCACAGTGTCCAAGTTTTACACATATATTTACTTTGAATTAACTGTGACTGGCTGACCGGCCGGTTTCGATATAGAATTTTTACGCCGATGTGCAGCAGTTAGGGTCGCGTCACACTTCACTTATCACACAAGGCAAGATTAGAAAGTAAAAAAGAGATTCAAAACAGAAATATGAGGCAGAAAGACCAGTAATATGGTAGAACAATAAAGTTTTATTGGATACCATCAATCACAAGGAATGGATGCATCTACGCCATCGCTGAGAACTAATTTGAGCCAATCATATCACCAACTGTCTCCAGTCGCCGTCATTGTTTCTTATCATCCCCCAACCAGGCAGTCTATATCTTCCTACGTGACTGACTGGCTGGCTTAAACTAACTGTTTTGGATTTCATTGACTGGTGAAGTCATGTTTTGGTTTGACCACCACCATTAGCTAACTCCTTTCCATCATGACCCATCCTATGTCAGTCAAACTGACATTGCCCGACCGTCGGTCGAGGAAAGCGATAGACGTTTGTATCCCCCCCCACACCTACTTATAACCTTGGAACCCTATTGGTTGTTCACTCTTTTCACTTGTCAGTGTAATTAGTGCCTTTCAAGGCCACTTGAATCATCATCATACATACGCAACTGGTGTCAACCCTATTCACTGTTGATTCGAGACAGTTTAAGGTCTCTACGTCAACGGTCTTCTTGCATCTACAAGTTCAGTGGTATGACATCTTGTCATTGTTGTTGCTAACAGCGATTAGAAGAGTAGGGGCTCGCGAATTGACCAGATAGTAAGTTCGTTAGGACAAACTACCAAGTGTATTTAACGGTCATATATCATGTGTGCAGTACGACAGATTGAACTGTTGTGTTCTTTCTACGCTAAAACTCAGTCAGCCATAACCTGCTAACTACAGTGTCACCTAACATTAGTTGTCCAGTACCACTCCTGTGGCTGGTTTTCAATGGTTCTCTAACTGATGTCATCAATCCGTCGTCAAACTCGCAAAAACAAATCTAATCCTTACACAAACCAAATTCTGGAAAATAAATTTGATGTTCGCTAGTGCCTTGCTACAGGACAAAGTTTCCTGGAGTCAGTTCTAGTGAGAAGTCGTGACCAGTGAGGTCCATCCAGATGTCATGTGTGAGGATGGATGTCCAACAGACGACATTGGTTGGGGTTGCGCTAAATGTTTTGAACGTAGTTAATAACCATGATTATAATGGTAACGAAATATTGATAATAAGCTTTATGGAGGTGGCGATAAGAATAACGAAGGTGTCAGTAATATGTGTACGTGTAGACAATTCAATAAATAAATAAATTAGGTCAAATCTTAAAAGTTACGTAATACTTGGAGTGAAGTGGACAGATAATCAGAGTTCACACCGATAAATATTATAAAAGTACGAAGGGGATGGAAGATAAGAAAGGGTGGGATGGTTTTGAGTAGAATTCACCTAGGCTAGGCAAGGGAGAGACAAAGGTAGAACAAACTTCTTTTGTCGTATGCAAAGACTAGGATTGTGCTCTCGAATTAATTCCCTTAGCGTCTTCGGCTATTTGTAAAAGACGGATTCGAATTCCGTTCGAATGGAATGTGATGGATAAATTTGAAGGCACTATTTCTGTCAACTTGTTGACCGGTACCATCAAACAAATGAGACAAATTAGAACTTCTTATAGATTTAATTTGACCTTTTCGGAACTATGAAGGAAGATGCTCATTAATGGTGCGTTTGTTAGGCTGTCTAGTTGTTCACCCTATACAGCCAGCTGTCTCCGCAGGAATTCATGTGTTGGTCATTAAATCGGGGTCGTAGTGGCTGAATGGTATATGAGCTTGCTGGCCTTGTAACCAGAAGGTGCTGGGTTCGAAGTGTGCATACTGCCGATAATTCCCAAAACTAGGATGAAACAGCTGGCTGTCCAGCACTCCTCGGTGGTTTTCAGTGGATCTCTAACTGATATAATTGTTCTGTGACCAACTCGTAAAAATAAATCTAATCCTTACAAACCAACTATAGAAATTAGTTAACACCGCAACATACCACAATTGCAACTGAGGTTAGTTTTTTTTTTACGAAATTATGACTACTATTTAACATACCGTTACGCGTCGGTGGCACAGCGGTTAGGACACTCGCCGACCATGCGCACATGGTCCGGGGTTCCATCTCCGGCCACTTACTCACTCCTTTACCTCGCTAAGCCAGAAATAATGCTGGTGAAGAGGTAAGGTTGAGGGGGGGGGTGCATGAGGCTGGCTAGCAAACCCATCCTACTACAGAAACTTCAAGCCACTAGCTTGAGGCCCCATGTCCCACTAGGAACGTGAAGGAAAAAAATATTTATACTATTACAATCAGTCTGTCAATGTAAGCACTTAAACACTTAACAAGAATATTCCCCTTTTAGAGAAAAAACATAGACATAATGTTAAACACAACTTACTTAGAACATCACCCAACTGTTTTGATCCCCATCTAAAAAGGCTTGAATTGAATGATGACAATGTCGGTGGTGGTGAGGTAGGCGAAGTAGATGTGTTACCTGGCTTTGTCGAAGTACTCGACTGACTGTCAGCAATCCCATCACTAGTATTCACTTCTGAATAGTGTAAATGTCCTAACATATCGAGAGCTAATTCTTGTGAGAAAACACCTAAATAGGATTGTGTTTCAGAACACCAAACTGGTGCAGCTATCACTCCATTGTCAAGAAGAGCGGAAATTGCGCGTAATGTCTAAAATTTCGAAATGAACAACAACAACAAGAGAAAAATAATTTCATTGGATTACGAAGAAGAAAAAGTGCCGTGCGTTGGTGACGCAGCGGTTGGGACGCTCGCCAAACCTTGCACATGGTCCGGGGTTCGATCCTAGACCATAGAGACACACTCCTTCACCTCACTAAGCCAGTATTAAAACTGGTAAAGAGGGAAGGTTAGGGCAGGGTGCATGAGGCTAGCAACCTTGTTCTGTAAAAATAAACACCACTGCTACAGAAACATCAAGCCTCTAGCTTGAAAATCCCAACCCCACCCCCTATGTGTTCCATCGGGAATGTGAAGGAATAAAAAAATAAAACAAAACGAAGAAGTGCAACATTGGTAGGTTAATAAAAAGGTCAAAGGCAGGGTGTAGTTAGGCAAATTGGAAAATACTTCCCAGTCTGGCTTAGGCGAACGGAGGAATAAAATCTATGAAAAGCTCATCTCGATAACTACACTTAGTGGGCAACACAGGACATCGTAAGTCGCATATCGACCCATCTATGTCAGCTTCATATTATCTGGGAGCTGTAGCAACAAGATCGAGAATGTCAGCAGTACCTTGCATTTCAAAAGGAACACACATTGAAATAACATCCCTCCCCATGTCATCACTGAAATAAATATTACTCTGTACTCCATTTCTTTCTCTTTTCTTTTCCTTTACAAGGTCACGTAAAAGGACAGTTATTGGCTGATATATATATCGCAAATTCAGCGTACCCCAAATATTCATCAACCTTAATCAACACCTGTACGACAATGGCACAAGTCAAGTCATCCACTATGGAAAACTCACCAAGGCGTTTGGAGTAAACACAGGAGTCAGACAAAGGTGCTTATTACCACCAACCAATGATATTCCTTATTGTGGTGGACTGATTGGATTATGCGTCAGACAGTGAGTGCGTAACGAGAAGACAGGGATATCCTGAACCGACAGACGTGAAGAACCTAGAAGACCTGGATTTCGCCTGTGGATAATTTATGTTTGATTTCACACAAAATCGAAGACTTACAAGCGGAAACCGACCGACAAACTGGTTGAAGAAGCAGTCGGCGAAGACAGGACTCCACGTGAACACAGACGAGACGGAGATTATGAAAATAACCAACAAACCAACCAACAACAACTACAACAGCAGAAACATCCAGCGCCAATCACCATCAATGGGAGGGATTTGAAAGAGGTTACTTCATTCACTCACTTATCTAGCATTGAGCATTGTCTCAACTACAGCCAGTCGGAACGGACGAGGATGTCAAATTAAGCGAGAACAGCACATCTCTCTCTTTATTTCATTCTGTTCCGTGAAGTCTTTTAGTAGCTGGTTCCACGATTGAACATGAAGTTTCATCTCACACTTCCACTCACACGATCTCTTCTTTGTTAACTTCCGATGTTACGTTCGTTATCGTTTCCAATTCGGGTTCTATTCATTCATGAAGGCGTCTAGTACGACGCGATGTCACTGCTCAAAAGTCTCTCCAGTGTGTATCCAATTAATCTTCATTTCCTTTCTGCATATTTATTTGACAACAGGTTCAGCATTGATTCGTCAGCTGAGTTTCTTCTTGCTAAAATACAAAAGGTACGTTGACGATACCTTTATAGTCTGCTACGATAACTCGAACCTAAGCTGCATCTTACAAGAATTTAATAATTCCCATCCTTCGATTAAATTCATCACAATGGAATTAGAAAACAATTCAAAGATTCCATTTCTGGACGTGGAATTAACAAGAAGAGATGATGAAGAACCCTGAAGAGGTCCATCTACAGAAAACCAATGTGGAACGGCCAACTAACGCATTCCTACAGTTAGATACCTTTGAGCCGAAAACGAGCTCTCATCATCGCACTAACTCATCGCATTAGAAAAATCTGCAGCAGCGACTGCTTGGAAGAGGAGCTCCTATTCCTCAAAAATATCATGGTTCAAAATGGCTACCCGACACATTTTATCGAAAAGAACATGAAATCTAAACCAAAAAGAGATGAGTGCGATTCACGGGAGATTTGGCAGCTGATATCCAGAAGAGGAGAATATCCAGTTCTTTAAAGAAGACCTTCCATGCAGCAACACTAAGAGTGACATTCTCTAGCCGTCCAATACTTCGAAACAACGCTAAGGACAAACTCTCGCATATGACCAATTCAATGTGCATATATACGAGTTCACCTGCTCGTTCGGAGCTAGGTACATAGGTCGTTGTATACGCGTCCTTTCAAAACGTGTTACAGAACATTATCCAGCATAGTTGCAAAGAGGAGGCACTGGTTCAATAAGAAGTGCCATTATTGAACATCTGATCAACACCTCCCACAACATCTCAACTGACTTATTCACAAAGCAATTTAAAAAATTAACAGAAACCTACTAAAAGCAGTGTGCTTCCGACTTCTCTGTACTGCAGAAGCCCTCGAAATATGCACCGCGAGAAGCTGGAGCTGTGTGTTCAGAATAAATTAGTCCAACCTCAACAATTACCATGTACCTAGTTCGGTATGTTCCCTTAGCTTCCGTTTGTCTTTTTTTCTTTCGTTCTCTTTTTTCTTTTTGATCTTTTTTCGGTTGCTGAAATATTCATTAGGCCATTTTGATCTTCAGTATCGAGTCAGGGAAGGCAGTAGCTTGACACACACTTGACATCAGTGTTGAAAATTCGAATCTTTTTTCTGTATGCTGAGTGTAGCCGATTCCCACACTAACCTCAGAGTACTACTGAAAGACCGTCGTGTTCTTTTTTTCCAATCCTCGCTGGTATTGACGTCCTCATCTGCATGAAACCATATGAACACTAAAAACTTTGCAGATGTCACATGAGCAAATGTGCATCGGTGGCACAGGGGTTAAGACGCTCGCCGACCATGTACATGGTCAGGGTTTCGATCCTCGGCAACTGATGCATTCCTTTACCTCGCTAAGCCAGAAATAAAAGCTGGTAAAGAGGGAAGGTTGAGGGGGTGTATGAGGCTAGCAACCTCATCCTGTAAAAATAATCGCCACTGTTACAGATACTTCAAACCAATAGCTTGGAGCCCTATGTTCCACTGGGGTACGTGAAGGAAAGAAAAACATGAGCAAATGATACATACATACACACGCACACACACACACACACACTCACACAATAAAAATAAACACTTACGGGTAGACGTGAGTCTACGATAACCAACTTTCCACTATCTGGTAGGACATCATAACATGTACTATGACGAAACAATGTTGTATAGACACGATTCTCATCTGAAGACAGAAAGAGACAAAAAACAACAACAAGAATAACAATAGGAATAAATAAATAAATAAATAAACAGGGATTAATGAAGTTCAAATGTTGGTTTGCAGGGATATGATTGGTTTGAAGGATTTCATCATCATGAAAAGACTGACATTGGTAAGAAAACTATTGAAAACTACCACGGAGTAATATATATATAATAACACACTTCGAAAAATCTGACCCATTACACACCGACATGTCATATGGCTGTATATATATATATATATATATATATATATATGAAATTAATATAGGATTAGGAGATGAGAAAGTTAACTACTTCGGTCAAATTAAAAGGCCGCCATATTGAAGGTTAAAAAAACAATGAAGATCAGTCACTAAACCAAATAACAGAGAGGTAATAGTACATCTACTCTGGCTAGTATCAAAACAAAGTTTACCAAACAAGGTGGGTTTAATATGATGACGAATCGTTTTTGATGAGTGCATAATGGTGAGTGGTTTAAACTTCCTAATTGCTAGCTAGGGCTTCCACACACTTTAAGATACGCACCAAATACTTCAACAGATAGGTTTTTTTAAAGATGTGTTATAACGTCAATTTTATGTCCTATCTCTATAATATATTTGGCAACCGAGGAGATAGGTGTCCTATTCTCACCATGAATGGGTTCTGGGGATTCTATTTACTTCTGAAGCCAGCACTTATTTGCAGACATCGGTGAGTAAGTTCTCCCTATGTATGTGTGGCCACACGTACATTCAAATTGGTAAATGCAGTGGAATATGACATCATTTTTCTCATGTTCAAAAGGCTCAGATGGAGGATATATAGGCTTCACATTCTCAATTATTATGATTTTAGCTGCATAAAAAGTCTTTTTAACCACAACAGCGTTCAATCTTTGTGTAGTTGTCAAGCTGCTATGATGCCCTATATAGGGTAGGTAGCTTGATGTACACGTGTTTCTTAGGGGCAAGCTGGTGAATGGGTCTTGGTGTTTCACTGACTACTTTATATCTCCTGATAAACTTGTCTGGATAATTATTATCAACCAGAGTTTTCGTGTCAACTTTCTTTCTTCTTCATCAAGTGTGCCTGTCTTCAGTGCATATTCGTTGGATTCTACTGAAGAGGCACCTCGCTCACTAAGGCTCTTTTGAATCGAAAAGGACAGAAACTGTGATAATTAAGATACTGTCCTGTCCAGGTAGGTTTTCTACAAATAGATCTTTTTATTGACGCATCAAGCCGTCGACTGATCAATATGTCTAGGAAAGATAAACAATTATCTTCCTCTTCTATAAAATACCAATAGAACCCAAAATTAGAAATTCCCTCTGGTTTAAGCTAAAGCCAGAGCCCGAATAGCTAGCTCAGTCTTAACGTCTCTGAGTGCAGCCGGCAACGAGTGATGCGGTTTCGAATCTCAAAAAAGAACATGAGTTCTTTCAAGGCAGTTGCAGATACGCCTTGCTGACTGACTGAGTGAAGAGTGGCAACTAGCCAGAAAACCCCTAGGTCAGAATCAAGGTTTCGTGTGGCCGATTGCGTCCAACCATATAATAAGACTAAAACTTCCACGGCATGGGCAGCCGGGAGGTAACAACTGCCCACACACTTCCGAAAGCAGACGAAGCCTTCCTCAGCATCATTCTCCTTTATTCACATCACCTTCCTCATCTTGCTTCTCTACTACGGTTAGCACTGTTCTGCAGGCTAGTGAGTCATCTTCACTTCACTCTGTGACCAAAAAAAACGGCGGGAGCAATAGAAACACCCCAGATAGCCTTTTAAAGTCACGTCACCATTTAAAGTCAGGAGCCTCTGCCAAATCGGGCAACAAGCACCACTAGCAAGAACTCTGGCATCTCGAGCCATGGATGTATGTTGTGTTTTGGAGACACGCACACAAGACTCGAGTGTGGTCATTCATTTAAGCTCACCCGGTCAACACAATGAATCTGCGAAATTCACTTTAAGGGTGTCAGGAGACCCCTCAGCTAGCTCGCAAGGACTTGCAGGTGTGGGGATAGCACTGAGTGTCAGGGAGGAAAAATCACTTCTTGACTGGATCCCAGTAGATTGTCATATGTGTGCAGTAAGTCTGAATGGGTCCGTTAAAAGAAGGGAAGACGGCGCTACCCGTTGTTGCCTTTTCGTAGTCTCTGCCTACGCCCCAACAGACTGCAGTTAACTAGAATCAGATACAATGCTATCACAAAGATGTCCACTGGACATGCACCAGTGAAATAATTAAGAGCTTAAAATTCTGTCTAGAAAGTAATTATTTTACATTTAAAGGGAGTTTATAAGGACAGACAAATGGTGTTGCTATGGGTTCATCACTCTACCCAATCGTCGCCGATCTTTTCATGAATAGATTCGAAGATAACATCTTTTCAAGCATTCTCACTCCTAAAATATACTTAAGATATGTAGATGATACTTTCGTGGCGCTAAAACAAGATCTACACAGTTCACTTCTGGAGAAAGTGAACAATCTATCTCCAGGTATCCAGTCTACTTCTCAAGCGAGCAGAATCAGACTTCGGTGAATTGCCATTTCTAGACTGCCTAGTTAGGAGGAGGGAAAACGGAGATTTTAGTATATCCATATTCAGGATATACTATATTCAGGAAGAAAACCCACTCCATTAAATATTTAGCCCATCAGCGCAATAGTATCAGTTGTTTCAAGTCTTCTTAGACGAGCACACTCTCTGATGTTAACGGATGAGAAAGAAAAAGAAGAAGAAATATCAAACATTACTGAAACTCTCAAACAAAATAACTACCCAAAGAACTTCATCAAAAAAACCAACACTGACATTAAACATGATCGAAAACGTATTTCGAGGACATAGGCCCCAACAGTTGTCCTTCCATATAGACCATCAGATACGTCAAACGATATCAGAAGAGTAGTCAATCAGCTCGACATGAGAGTTTTCTTCAAAACATCACACACACACACACACACACACACTACAAAAGCAACCTTTTCTTTGTAAAAGACCATATCCCAAAGGATTCTCAAAAAGGCTTGGCAATGACGCGAGAAATCAAGGTAATCAGAAGAAATAAACACCACTGAAGAGCATCTGTTGGTGATTACCAAGAAACAAATCCACTTGAAATTTTAAAAGCTTAAAAAATCATCAGCCAGCCATAAGTCTACAGGGACACTAAAGCAATCAGACCGAAAAATTGACTCTGACATTACTGAAATCATGTAGGAAAATTTTCAAAATCAACATGAATGTGTGATAAGCAATTTCATTATGTTAAAACACATGTTGCGTTTATAACTTTATACGCTTATCAAATCTCCAACAATCTGCGCACATGGTTTTGTTATCTTTATCAAGCGGTCAAATTTGACAACAACGTTAAAAAATTACCCCATGCTGTACATGCAAGCTGAGATTTTGTAATACTACTACTATGCTAAAGCTATTAGCGGCAGTAAGGGTGAATTATGAATTATCAAAACGCTTAGCTCTTATATTAATCCAGTTAATCCAGTCTAACGCTAAGGATAAGATACCGATTTTGGCCAATTCAATGTGTGTATTTATCAATTTACTTGCTCGTGTGGAGCAAAGTGTATCTATCCGGCGTATGCAATGTCAAGTCCACAAACGTATTCTGGAACACTGCCCACGTTGGTTAGCTAGCCAGAGGAGAAAAACAGAATAGCGACAGCTCGATCCTCCAACACCTTGTCATCTCCGGACATCGAGCACCCCCACCCCACGTTTGAATGCTTCACAGTGTTACACAGAGTCCCTTAATATCGTACAAACGGACTTCGGATACGCCATCTGTACATAGCTGAAGCATTAGCTATTCGAGATCTGAAACCGGACCTCTGTATTCAAAAAGCGATACATACATTCTCTCGCCCTACCATGGCCAGAGTAAAGTTCTTACTACAATTTTGCTTCTTTCCTTTATTATGTAGGTTCACTATTATTATTATTGTTCTTAATACTTTTATTATCATTATTATTCCCATCATCCACATTTTATTACCACTCTATTACTGTTTATCAACAACATTGCTTTTTCACACAGATTTTATACAAAAACACTTTATCGCCTTTCCACTAGTTCCTGTCCATTCTACGCGAGCTTATTGATTAGTCATTATCTCACACTTATTAGGTCATGCCAACTTCTGTCTCCTTTCGAACTTCAATTACTCATCCCTTCTTACACCTAACATTATGTAATACAACTTTTCAAGGACAAAGTTTACCAGTATCTGATTGGTCTAAAGATTTCTGTGTTTATTATAATTACGATTGTACAGCAGCTTAAGAAAATGAATCGTCGAAAAGAAAATTTTCTTCACTGTTTACGTCCTCTTTCTTATGACTCAATATGAGGATACTTCGTTCATTGAACAAATACGTACATCCTGGTAGATCCACTGTCCACATCGAATAAAATCATCAAAATGCGGCGTTGACAGCGTAGTAATTTGGAAACTACCCGAGTACGACGGCGTACCCCAAATATTCATCAACCTTATTCAACAGCTGTACGACAACGGCACAAGTCAAGTCATCCACTATGGAAAACTCAGCGAGACGTTTGCAGTAAACAAAGGAGTCAGACAAGGGTGCCTGCCTATTATCACCAACCAATGATATTCCTTATTGTGGTGGACTGATTAGATTATGCGTCAGACAGTGAGTGCGTAAAGAGAAGACAGGGATATCCTGAACCGACAGACGTGAAGAACCTAGAAGACCTGGATTTCGCCTGTGGATAATTTATGTTTGATTTCACACAAAATCGAAGACTTACAAGCGAAAACCGACCGACAAACTGGTCGAAGAAGCAGCCGGAGAAGACAGGACTCCAGGTGAACACAGACAAGACGGAGATTGCGAAAATAACCAACAAACCAGCCAACAACAACTACAACTGTCTGTCTGTCTGCTTTCGACATAGAACTTTGCACGAATGTGCGGAAGTTCAAGTCGCCACAACAGCAGAAACATCCAGCGCCAATCACCATCAACGCGAGGGATTTGAAAGAGGTTACTTCATTCAATCACTTATCTAGCATTGAGCATTGTCTCAACTACAGGAGGAGGAGCGGACAACGATCACAAATCGAGCGAGAATCGGGAAGGCGAGAAACACATTCAGTCATCAACCTGAAACCAATCTGGAAATCTACGTCACTCAACTCAGCATCAACAACAAAGTTCGATCGGATTTTCAATACAAACAACGTCAAGTCAGTCAGCTCTTCTATACGGATCAGAAACTTGGTGGACGGGTGGGTCACAAAGAATATTTCCAACAGCCTGTTGCATAGGTTACCCTTATCAAGCGACAACTGTCAACTATCGCTCTATACTGAAGATCAATCAGATGTCCGGGCTGGAAAGAATCACCGACAACAAGAAACTATGGGAAGGAAGGAACAAACAAAACAAGAAAAAACCAATCTCCAGTCAACAGCTAATATGCAGGAGAAAGTGGAGATGGATGGATTGGACACTCGCTCGCTGGGGAGGCCGCTGGGCTGGGTGACATCGCGCGCGCGTCAGGCCATTCCTCGAGTGGAACTCAAAAGGGAAACGACGAGTGGGTCGTCAGTGCAAGGGTGACATCGGGGAGATTGTGTGAAGAGGAGTTGAAACAGTATGGACTGACTAATATGGATGGAGGTGAAAAGCAGAGCAGAAGGAAGACAGAAGCAAGTGGAGACGTGCAGTTTAAGCCGTATGTTCCCCTAGGAACTCAAGGGAATAATAGTGGTATAATAAAAAATATCTTATCGTGTGAATGAGCAGACTGGTGTAAATATGAGTAGGAGTGAATTGGACTTGAATACTTGGATATGTATAGATACATATTTGTATGTGACATAAAATTATGACATCTTTGTTTATGCTATTCCTCACAGTTATCAGATGTATGTGTGAAAACAACCGACTTAGCCTTTTTTACCCCCTCAGTTAGTTAGAGAGTTTTACATTAATTACTATTTGTAAGATTCATTTATATATATAAAAAAGGGCTGATTGATATATTTTATGATAAAGTTAATAATGCTGGTGATTATGATTAGGATCTCCAACCTATTTTATGGACTTTATTAGTTTGTAACAAATTCATCTCGATACTTATCATAAAATAAACGGAAGGGAAGGAAGGAAGTCATTTAACCATCATAAAATTTCATTGTTTAAAGAATACTGCTCTACACTGGAGCTTATTTTTTTCTCTCTCACACATGAGACATATTCACCGTGTGAACAACGACGACGACGACAACAACAATTACAACCGGAAAACAATGAAAAACAAGAAAATATGCATTATTAACAAAAGTACCCAGTGTTCGCTTTCCAAACGTATCACCGAACATTTACCTACAGTTATGGTTTTACAAAGGAGAAAAACGATGCCCCCCTCGCCCCGCAGCTCTATCTCAGAACATCTGATAGATTCCGGACACCAAGCTACAGCCCCCCAAACAAACTTTAAGGTCATCTAAAGAATTCGAAGCAGTCTTCCTAAAGGTGTACGAACCAAATCAGACTTCTTCAAACTGCAGAAACAATAGCAATTCACTTGCTAAGTCCTGAACTCTGCATACAGAAGAAGTTCGTTCAATCACTACACTTATTAATCGACAGTTAAATCCAACTTATTCTTTACTCTTCTGTCTCTTCATTAGTATTATTTTGTCTTCTCAGTTGTAATATTTTACATTTTCAACTTTCTTGTTCTCTACCCTCACCCGATTGAATTCCTACACCTCACTACCACTGTTACTGACTTGACCAACGCTCAATTTCTAGTTATTTAGTGTTACGTCATCCAACTTATTTACTCAATTTCACTTCTAATTTAAATGGCATTATTCTCTACCTCACTTCTACTTAGTCTCTACCCGTAATTACCTCTGTTGCTGCCCTGACCTAAGTTGAAACATTTTAGTCAATTATATTACGTCATCTAACTCACTAACTAACTCAATCTTACTCTAGCTGCTGTCTAAATAACCTTGTTTCTATATTAGGTCATTATTGTATCACCCAATTAACAATCTAAAGTTGACAAACCTCATGTACACACACACAGAGAGAGAGATAATCGTATATAAATGCAACTGTACGGCTATGTGAATGAATTCGCCATCGAAAAGAGTCAGTTTCTTCGCTGAATGCCTTCTCTTTTTTAAAAGTTAGTTAGTTGATTAGTTATTGAGTTACTTATCTCGTTAACAGTTTATATCACAGGATTTCACCAGCAGTACGCACTCGTCGCCAGGGTTCGAACCCAGGACTTTCCGATCACAAGGCGAGTTCTTAGACCATTCAGCCAATAGGACCCGATCCAATGGTCAGTTCATGAATCACCCCAGTAGCCACCAATGCACCAAAGCTATGTAGACGCGCACACAATTTGTACAAGCTGAAGTGAGCACTCTAACTACATGAATTTTAACATAGAAGGTGGCACAGAAGCACTTCAAGTTGTCATATTTCATGTAGCACGCAAAGGTGTAGAGGAGAGAAATATTCAAAAGAAGTAGAGAAGGAATAGTAGCATGGAGAAATATGAGGACTTAAAGGATCCAGGAGTCCAAAGAGAGTGAGTGCACTTATGCCACTAAATCACTAACGGGCTCAAGCCATTGATTCTTAAAATCTCGAGGACCCTATACAAGTAGTATAGACCACTCTCTACACAGCTGATCCAAACGAACTATGAAATCCCTCATCGATTGATTTCAGATTATGATTTTTGATCAACCTACTAACTCTTTTTTACTATTGTGACAGGAGATTCTGAGAGGGGTCCTGGGTTCGATCCCAGACAAACCCTCAGGATTGTTCGCTGTAATTTAGGTACAAAAACAATGAATGGAAACGTTACTTTGCTACCGCCCATTTCGAACATTACAGCTGGACATGTGCCTGCGACTTTTAGCACACGACTCTCTACGTGTCTGGACTACCAATGAACATGGTCTGACATTTTGACATAGAATCGCATCTAGGTTGAGACTGTTGTCCCTGGAACGATTAAACATACGTCTTGCTCCTATTTCACAATAGCCTTAAATACTTCTCGTTTTATCACATTCAGAGCACTTGTGTCTTCTGACGCTCATTCTTAGCCCACGCCGCTACCTCTTGTTGCTAACCCGAAACTTTTTCCTTCAACTGATTCATTCTTGGTGGCTCTATTGAGGTTCCGCCTCCTCCTTTGTGGCTGGCTGTGAGACCTGGCCATTGAGAGTGGAAGACATGAAAAGACTAGTTAGCTGTCTTCGATCATAGGTGAATGCGTGTGAAGTGATATAACAAGGTGAGCAATATTGAGGTTGGGCGACGAGTGCTAGGTAGGTGGGAGGGGGAAGGTGTAGACTTTCTGACTGGTTGGGGTCCTCGGGACGGTAAAAACCAATGGTGGCTGGAAACAATTGGTGATATGGCCAGCTCGAAATCGTTCTCAGTGATGGCTGGCTCAGATGCATCCACTCCTTGTGACTTATGATTTCCAATGAAACTGTTTTGTTCTTCGTTATTACTATTCCTTTATCTCACACCTTTGTTTACTGTCTCTATTATGCATTTCTTCTACTTTCTTCTCCTGCTTTGTGTGGTACATGGAGAGGGAGTGTGGCGGCTTGAACTGGTGCACATCGGTGCAAAATTCTATGTCGAAAACAGACAGACAGACTTAGGCTAACGTTGTACTCAACAGCTGTCTACTCACCTTGGCTAGCTCACTTGACTTAACTGTCAGCTAGTGAACTAGGCGAGATTCAGAAATACATCCGTCTGAGAGGAGTGGGGGGTCGAACCCTAAATTGAGTAATTCAGAGGCTAAAGTTTCTACCTCACCTGTATCACACAACTGCCATTTTCCCTTTACATTTCTAAAGTGAACACAAAAAACTTTCGTAAAAAAGACACAATCTATGCTCTAGAGTAAATATCGATTGTTCACACGTTAACATGATAACATATACACACATGTATGTGTGTGTGTGTGGTATATACTCACCAAATTGTCCAAATGCACAAGGAGAAAAGTCTTCCTTTGACTAAATAAAATAATAAAAATAAAAAAATAATAAAACAAAATACAGAGAAAAAAAGTATGAAAAAAAGGTGATTGACTGCAAACAGGTGATAACTAACACATGCTGTGACGCAACACACACATGAATATTGAAAACTTCAGCAACTACCTACCTGCCCCCCTCCACCCCACTAGGCTTAAATTACAAAGAAGTTAACTCATGGAGCGCGAGAGGGAGACAGAGAAAAGGGCGATAGAGAAACGACGCAATGAAGTGTATTACATTCCCATTATAACTTTACATTTAATGTCTATCGGCATGCCCACGGCCGAAAGCCTTCACCGCTACCTACAACTGCATCTAAGATACGTATATATATACATACATATACCCCATGTGACACATGACATATCGCAGTTCAATCTAGTCTAAACATCATGGATGGATGTCACGTCAAGGACGATTAAATAAAGGATAGTGAAGCGTGCAACAGACTGTGATATAAAGTGGACACATGTTGACACTACAATAGACATACACATACGTACGTAATTTCCCCCACCGCACCCCACTCAACTCCCAAACCCCTGCAATTAATCTTTCTACTTTCTGACTTTAGGCTTTTATGAATGTAGACATAAGCTGCTGTCAATGTTAATGTATTCTACCGCTTGAATACAAACGATGACTTACAATAATGCTTACAGATTAACACACCTATCATTATAATAATAATTATTATTGTTCCCTTGGGTTCCTAGTGGAACATAGGGCTTCAACTGCACGTCTCCACTAGCCACTTCTGTCTTCCTTCTGCTGTACTTTTCACCTCCGTCCATTCATGTTAGTCCATACTCTTTCAACTCCTCTTCACACGATCTCATCCATGTCACCCTTGTGCCTGACGCGCGATGTCACCCAGCCCGGCGGCCGCTTCCTCAGCGAGTGTCCAATCCATCTCCACTTTCTCCTGCGATTGATTCTTGTTTTGTTTCTTCCTTCCCATAGTTTCTTGTTGTCGGTGATTCTTTCCAGCCCGGACATCTGATTGATCTTCGGTATAGAGCGATAGTTGACAGTTGTCGCTTGATAAGGGTAACCTATGCAACAGGCTGTTGGAAATATTCTTTGTGACCCACCCCCCCACCAAGTTTCTCATCCGTATAGAAGAGCTGACTCACTTGACGTTGTTTGTATTGAAATTCCGACGGAATTTTGTTGTTGATGCTGAGTTGAGTGACGAAGATTTCCAGATTGGTTTCAGGTTGATGAGTGAATGTGTTTCTCGCCTTCCCAATTCTCGCTCGATTTGACATCCTCGTCCGTTCCTCCTGGATGTTGGTGCTGTTGTTGTTGTTGATGGTTTGTTATTTTCATTACCTCCGTCTTGTCTATGTTCACCTGGAGTCCTGTCTTCTCCGGCTGCTTCTTCGACCAGTTTGTCGATCGGTTTTCGCTTGTAAGTCTTCGATTTTGTGACAGTGACGTCAAACATAACTCATCATCCACGCGCGAAATCCAGGTCTTCTAGGTTCTTCACGTCTGTCGGTTCAGGATATCCCTGTCTTCTCGTTACGCACTCACTGTCTGACGCATAATCCAATCAGTCCACCACAATTAGACATATCATTGGTGATAATCATCATCATCATACATTGTCGAAACTAAGATCGTTACCTTTTTCTTCTGCTTAAGCAAAGTAGGATAAGAAATATTCAATTTCTCCGGTCGACAAATGATCAATGGATGTGTGAAGAATAAACTGCCGTTTTCGACGGGCCACTTCGATGTGTGTTTACAAATTCACCTGCTGCTTCTGTGGAGCTAGTTATATTGGCCACACAAAGCGGCTGCACACTTTCCAAACGCATCTCTGAACATTATCCGGCATAGTTTAGGCAAAAGGACAATGCAAGACAGTTACTAATTAGCTAAATTCTCGAGCATTTGGTGAACTCAGGTCACGTAGCTCCACCAGAGTCGTCTTTCACAACATCATCTACAAAAGGAAGCCAAATGGAATAAAGGGCGTCAGGTATCGACTTTTGTGTATGGCAGAGGCTCTGGCAATTCGTCAATACAATCCTGAACCCTGTATACAGAAAAAGTTTTGTCCAGTCTCTTATTCTACCTTGGTCTTAACCTCTTCACTAGTGGTTCCCTGTAAAAAAAAGCTTGATTTTTTCTTTTCTTGTTTAATTTTACTTTTAGTTTGCCTTTGCTTTAATAATTAATTCACACTATTATCACTCTCATATGCTCCTTCTGTACATTTCACACCCTTTTCACACTTGTTAAATTGACACTCAACTACCACCTTTATTTTCACACAATAGCAATTTTAACTTTATCAAATTTGTATCTTTGTGCCATCGTTGAGTACCACGTAATTTACAACTTTTAATTCTTTTCACTTCTAAAGTCACTTCTCAGTAATTATATCAATTATGTCACCCTAGCCCCTATTACTCAGTAATAGACCACCATATATTTTTCTGGTAAGTATAAATACGACTGTACAGTCAGCCTCTGAAGATGATTTCGTCGATAAACAAAATTTTCTTCGCTGAATTTGTCTTTTATTTTCTTCATAAGAAATAATTACTGGAAAATAAATAATAGTGTTATAGGTGGTTTGAAGGGAAAGCGTCAGGAAGCCCTACACTCCTAGGTTTCGTGTTTATTCACACTCGTCAGCAGAGTGTATATGCAATATCTCATGGCGATTGATGAATAATACATTCATTACTCTTTAATGACCAACCAACCAGCGAATGCATGCAGTCCAGTTCTATATAAAACGTCAAACTGTTAGCCCGAATACCTCAGTAATAATGCTTTCTGAATTACTGGACTAGGTGAGGTTTGTTCAACCCTGCAAGAAAGACATCAGTTCACTTGAGGTTTCAGACGTATCTATCTATCTACCTTGCTGACAAGCGAGCGCCACAAGAGGTTGAAAAAAAACACCTAGGTTCTGGGTGTCGTGTCAACTGTTTTCGACCACCTAGTATCAGTTCGACGAGCATGCATAGCAACACCTTGCCGCGAGACAAGAGACCACATTTCAAAGTTGACTGATACTGGATTTACTGCCTGTCTAATAATCTTTTTTAAATTATCCGTGAGTGACAAGTTTATTGTTTCTTGAATGAAATCGATTAAAGAGTGATTCTCATACAATTCTCTATACTCAAGCTTTGGGGTTTGTAGGGGTTCGACTGGTTACAGGATTTCATCATCATGAACTGAAATGCGTAAGAGAACCATTGGAAAACCAGTTGGGAGTACTGAAGAGCTGCTTCGTCCTCACTTGGAACTCTTTGCCAGTATGCACCCACCGGGATTCAAACCCAGGACCTTCACCTTCCAGTTACCAGTCGAGTTCGTAGACCTTTAAGCTACTCGCCAGCGACTAACACTGGTTAGTGCCAGTCACGCTGTAACATGAATTGGCAGGAATTAGAATTCCTGGTCCATTAAAAAGGGTCCCAGTGGCTTAGAGGTGTCTACGAGCTCACCTTGTAACTGGAAGATCCTGGGTTTCGAAACCTGTTACGTACGTACTGACGAAGGGTTCAAAACTAGGACAAAACAGCCCTCCAGTACTCCTAGCTGGTAATTCTGCTAGGAAACACACCTATCAGAAACAGCTTGTTAGGAAGTCGGTTAGAAATAATTAAGGCTCATATATAAGTAATTAAGTTGTGATTCTACAACCCTGAGAAGAATTTCCAAATCCCTCTTTTGATACAAATTGATTGAATACCATAGGAAATACATACAAAAAAAGCTGGACTCACATTAGACAGCGATTTACTTATAACAAGTAGATGCTGAGATTCAGAAGCACTTTTCACACGAATTCCTGGACGAGTACAACTTGAACCGGCACTTGGAAAAACCTGACGACCTAGAGAATTATAAAAATAAAGAATATACATCTTTTAAAAACTTAATCAAACTTAAGTTATTAATTTATCGTCAAAAAAGTAATATTATTATTTCATTCCGAGAGGAAAGTACGGTCTCAGCGGCACATTCTAATTGTGCCTTGTTCTGGCCCCGTAACGGTTCACAAGCTTTGATTCCAGCTTTACATAATGCCTTCCATGACACCCTAACACACAACCAGTACGTCAGTTCACACACACACATACTTCACCTGACGGTCTGACTAGTGCAATGTCAATCAATAGTCTCCTCAGCGTATTCTTAACCTATCCCCGCCCCCCACCTACTCTCCTGTATTTGTTGTTGTTTACTGGTTTCCCATCTGGCCATCTAGTTAGTCTTCATGGCTGAGCAAGGCCAGTTGTTGGCGGATGTCTGTAACCGGTGGAAAATACTTTCTGCAACGCTTAAGCCAAGTTTCTAAGCTATAGAGAAGCAATGATTTGACATTAATACCGAGATCTCCACACTGGTTTCAGAGTCAAGATGACCAGTTTTACCTACAGGAAAATTTGCGTTTTTCGTACTTATCACTAAGCTGATACCGAAATAAGGTGGTAGGTGCACACCACGGTGAATTGTCACCTAATTTAACACAATCCCATTAGACATTTGTATGAATGACAGAGTTCAAATTCATACTTAGAAGTGGACAGTGCTGTTATCCACTCTGAAAATAAAATGTCTCTCGAGAATAACTCAGTAATACTGTGGTGGTGTGATACAGACAATGTGGGCAAGCTGAATATGATTTTCATATATTCCTACAGTTCAATACACTCCATTATTAGCAACAGAATACTATGTGTGTGTGTGTGTGTGTGTGTATTTGAACATTCTGTTTCATGTGGTTTAATGTAAACCGAAAACACCCGCTCAGTGAGTGATTGCTTAAAGAAATATAAACTGCATAGATATAAATAGCGGTTTGGTCACTTGAAGAAAATACACCTTGGTTTCCATGTCTTGCCTACTTAATTGTTATAATACAATTCACCAGATAAAGCACAGAGTGTTATTCAACTTTACAGGGACTATATAAACTTCCTTCAGTTGTTGTAAACACTTTCTCTTGTGTGATGAGGACTAACAACAAACAGACAACTGTGAAGTAAAGAATGAGTTTATGGTCTGAATCATCTATAAGGCTATGCATCCAAGGTGCGTCGTTATTGGTGGGATTCACATCACTTGATCGCTATCTTCTTTAAGGTGGTTGGAAATTAAAACTACCTAGGGAATAAGAAGAAGTGGAATACTATTATGCCTACACCTCAACAAATTCGTCAAAAGGCAGTAGACATAATTTGATATGGAATGATTTTTCGTAGCCCCTTCTAAATCTAATTGGCGCTTGACAGACCATGACTATGACTATAATATAGTTTAACTTCTTCTAAAAGCCATCAATAGTTCGATATTCGATCACCATCACCTGATCCAACACAAGTGGCACTGAAGAAACTTTTTCTACCATCTTTTGGGTACGATGTATATATATATATATATATATATATTTGCCTGGACAGTAGTCAGTGACTAGTGTAATATTATTATTTATTTTAATTCCTGGAGGAACATAGGGCTTCAGCCACGCGTCTCCATTGCATTCGATTCTCTGCTAAAGTTTTCACCTGGCTCCAAGTCTCCCGCCCACAAGCTTTCATCTCCTCTTCACATGACCTCCTCCAAGTCACCCTCTCACTGATGACCAACTCGCTGCTTCCCTTTCGGCCAGGTTCCATTCGAGTAATGGCTTGTCTAGTGATGTTACTCACTTGATGGTTTCCTCAGAGTATAGCCAATCCATCTCTATTTCTTCCTGCATAATTGTTGCACAATCGGTTCCTGGTTGGTTCGCTCATTTCCAGAGATCCCTGTTTCTGATCTTCTCTGCCCGATCAACTGATCTTGAGTAGTATTGAGCGAAGACAGACGTTAATGTAGTTCTGTAGTTCGTTTGATGTGCTCTTTATGACGCACCAAGTCTCTGATCCGTATAGTAAGTAGCACTGACTTCACATGTGTAATCTGTCTAGTCCTATCTTCGGTGCAGACCGAATTCTATCAGTCAACCTTGCAATGTGGCCACCAAGCCACTAGATGGCTCTTCATCACGGTTCACTGTGAGCTGTTGATATTAGATGGTTGGAGGGAATCGAAATGAAACCCCTCCTGACCTAGGCTTCGTGCTAGTTGGCACTCATCAGCAAGGTGTATTTGCAACGTTGAAGGAACTCTTGTCTGTTTTGAGACTCAAACCCGCGTCACCCAGTCCCGCCTGCAGTCAGAGACGTTACCACTGAGCAGCTATTGAGGCTCGCGATTTACCTCCTGTAAGACTGAAATGGATATTTTTGACTGTTCAGCTGCTCGGTGGTAACGTCTCTGGCTACAGGCGGCACTAGGTGACGCGGGTTCGAATCTCAGAAGGGACATGAGTTCCTTCGAGGTTGCAGATACGCCTGCCTTGCTGATAAGTGCCACCTAGATCGAAACCTAGGTCAGACAAGGCTTCCTTCCGTCCTTCCATCCAACCATCTAATACCAACAAATGCCTCTAGATTACTGAATACACCGAACAAGCAAAAACCAAAGCAATTCCATTAAGATAACTGGAGCTATGCATACAAATGAAACAAGTCAAAATAAAGGCATTATCGCTGCCATGTTGCTAATGACAACATAACTGATAACTGCAGTACTCTTTGAAGGAGAATTCATAGGAAGAAATATTCTATGTTCACTTATGCACCTTAATTCTTCGTATATAAGAAAAGTGATTATATAACACAAAAATAATCAATAGTAGTAATTAAATATGAAAAATATTACATTATTGATTTCTTACCAGCTAGAATATTTACTGCGCCTTGAATTTCTTCTGCAGCTGATGAACTCAAATGTGCATGATGATTCGAGGAGCCTAATGAAAGAGACATACACAAAAAAAGAAAGGTAGAAGATTCAGTAATTAGAAATTATCTTTGTGTCATAAGGTTGTGGTAGGCCACTACGATTAAGTCTACAATCACGATGAAGTGTACATTGGAAAGATATCACTGACCGTCAAACATGCTCAAGATAATGAAAACACCAACAATAAGGAATCCAAATCATCAATAGTAATTCCTCCCATACAAAGAAGGAACCTCGAAAACCACACAAACTCAATTAGAAACAAGCTTTGTCGGTTGAAGTATCAATCCTGTGGAGCCCATTAAACGAAACAATTTAGTTAATATAATACCCTGCTGAAATGACTGTCAGGTCAAACACATAGGTCAAAGTAGTAGAACAGGGACAGTCAGACTAGTTGAACATAAAAACCTAGCATCAAAATCTAGATTAGTTGACCCAAATAAGATAAGAAATCTAGAGAATAGTTCCGCTGTAGCACTACACAACATGTAATTACACACAACCCATACAACAGGATGGGATAAGATGACAGTTGTAAAATCTAATGTCACAGCAGGGTGGAGGGAGGGAGAGATTGATAACAAAAACCTTGTTTATCGAATCAACTGACAGGGAATACGTGTAATAGAAATGATTCAACACCTATCCCTGATATCTGGAAAATTCTACTACCCCTACAACGACAAATATGAGGAGACTAAGAAAACTATAAAACAGGTTTCAAAGTCGTGTGATTACAATTGATGAGATGATTATGAACAGTGACAAATTTTATTCGAAACTGTGTCATCCAGTAAATAATGAATACTGTTTCACTGACGACTGTGTGATACATCTAATAAACAAGCTAATATCGAATTACTTACTTCCACAGTGTCCAAGTTTTACACATATATTAATATCACTGACCGTCTTAGTCAGACACTAAGTACAAGATACTTCGATCACTCGACAGAAGGTCGAATTGGTTGGAATATTTCATCATGAGCTGCTGACATCAGTTAAAGAACCATTGGAAAACCAGCTGGGAGTACTGGACAGCCAGCTATTTCGCCCTAGTTTGAGACTCTTCATCAGTACGCACCCAACCACCGCCAGGGTTCGAACCCAAGACCTTCTGATTACAAGACTAGTGAGCTCGTAGACCGTTGAGCCATTGGGACCCGATCCGGAGGACGAAACAGCTGTCCAGTACCCCCAAGTCTTCCATTGGTTCTCTAACTGATGTCAACTCATTATAGAATCCTCCAACCAATCAAATTAATTCCCTACAACAACAAAAAAAGTCAATACTCGAAGAGGATTGGAATTCTTTGAATTCACGCATTCTCCATCAATGCATATAAAACTAAAGGTATTATAGTCGTTAGAAAGAAGTTTATACTGATCTCTTATCCTTCCGCCCAGATAAAATTACACTAATCTCTTTTAATGGCATTCTCTCTCACACTGAATAATTGGAAGTATTGTCTTTCATGTTTGACTACGCATTGATGCCATCCATATACAGAATCACTCCCAGCTTGACGACAGAGAGGAGGGATCCACTCCTGCTGTCAAACGTAAGATGTGGCTACGGGACTGGATTGGACTGAACTAGTTTGAAGACAGAGGGAAGTGAAGTGTTTGGTGGAGCGCGTGTTGACCGCTTCACCACCTATTTGGGGAGTTGCATCAGCTAACACCAGTGGATTGATCACTGCCGAAATCTTAGCGTGGGTGTAGAAAGCTCCTTTGCCATATGCAAACTTACGCTATTTCTGACCTACACGTGATATATCCAGGTGGCTGACTGTCGACCAAAAAGCGTGTATACTGCTCAGAGACAGTTTGTTCTGTCCTCCTTTTATGGCTGGCTGTGAGATATAGCCATTGTAAGTGAATGATACGAAAAGGTCAGCTATCAGCTGTCCTTCATCATAAGTGTCTGCGTTCTATCCTCCCCCGTGTGTGTGTGTGTGTCTGTTGGGTGGTATTACAAGGTGACCAATATTGAAGTTAGTAGTTAAGTGGGGTAAAGAAATCAATCGACGAGTTTGTGAAGCAGCTGCATCGATTGAGGGATGGTTAAGACACGTGTTACGCATGGATATCCAGCCATCGCCTTCCTCCACTGACAACCAATGTTAGCTGATTGACATAGGATGGATGAGGTTGGAAAAGAGTCAGCCAGTGATTTTGGTGGTCAAACTAAAAAATATGGCTTCATCAGTCAATCAAATTCACAACAGATAGTTTAAGCCAGTCAGTCACTTAGGAAAGTGCTGTCTGGCTTCCTGGTTAGTGTCTTCAGGATAGTAAAACCCAGTAGCTTGAGACAATTGGTGATGTGGCTAGCTCATAATCGTTCTCGGTGGTGGCTGGTACAGGGGTACATTCACTCCTTGTGGTTTGACAGTCATATCCAATAAAATTATATTGTTCTCCCCCATATTACTATTCTGTTTCCCTCATTTACACTTGTGTTTATTATCTCTGTTTTGATGAATCTTTCCTGGCTTTGTGTGCTACAAAGCGGGAGTGTAGCAACTGGGACAGCTGCACATTTTTGCAAAGTTCTATGTTGAAAGCAATCAGTCAGTCAGTCAGTCAGTAAGTGAGTCACAGTACCATTAAAAAACTGATAGGGGAATACTGGACAGCTGTTTCGCCCTAGGTTGAGTCTTCTCGTCAAGTCAATGAGGACAAATAATCGCTGATGACATTGGCTGGTGTGTCAGTCGAGCTACAAAATGTTACAAATTAGTAGAAGTTGGTCACTGGATCGGGTCCCAATGACTGAATAGGTCTACGAGCTGATTTTGTAGCCAGAAGGCTTCGGGGTTCGTACTGGTGGTAAGTCCCAAACTAGAGACTGACAAGACAACAGCTATCTAGTACTAACCCCTAACTACTTCCCAGTAGTTATCTAACTGATATCAATCTGTGACCAAAATTTGAAATAAATCAAATCCCTAGAAACTAATTCATGAAAACATTGTCTTTGTTAGCACTTTTTATAATAATTATCATTTTCTATAGTTTGGTTTGCAAGGGTTAATTATGTTTTTACGAGTTGATCGCGAATTGATATCAGTTAGAGAACCATTGAAAAACCAACACCGTAGTACTGGGCGGCGATTTCTAACCCACTTCGAGAATCATCGGCAGTACACACCCACTGGGATTCGAACCCAATTAGAATTCACGAGCCATTGAATCGCGTCCCAGTGGCTGAATGGTATACGAGCTTGCTAGCCTTGTAAACGGAAGGTCCTGGGTTCGAACCCTGGCGGGGGGTGGGGGTGTACTGCCGATGATTCCCAAACTAGGATGAAACAGCTGGCTGCCCAGTACTCCCTGTGGTTGGTTTTCAATGATTCTCTAACTGACATCAATGCGTAATTAACTCGTTAGTTTCAATACCATGGTTTAGTGTTCCCTAGTTGAATTATTTATCATGAAACCAAATATTTTATTAACTCATTGTTATATGCCGGTGTTTCTTCTCTTTTGCTACCCCTCAGAACACGCACGTACGCACACACAGGATTATGAAAAAAGGGGGAACACCACTCAACAGTCACTTGCAGTCGCTAAACAGCTGACAATAAGCGCAGCATCCATTCCTCATCAACTCTCTGAAATTCTTAGAACTTCTTTCTTGCTATTATTATTGTTCCCTTGGGTTCCTAGTGGAACATAGGGCTTCAACTGCACGTCTCCACTAGCCACTTCTGTCTTCCTTCTGCTGTACTTTTCACCTCCGTCCATTCATGTTAGTCCATACTGTTTCAACTCCTCTTCACACGATCTCACCCATGTCACCCTTGCACTGACGACAAACCCACCGCCGCCTCCCTTTCGGCCTGGTTCCACTCGACCAATGGCCTGACGCGCGCGCGATGTCACCCAGCCCAGAGGCCTCCTCAGTCGCGAGTGTCCAATCCAATCCATCTCCACTTTCTACTGTATATTTGCTGTTGGTTGGCGATTGATTGGTTCTTGTTTTGTTTGTTCCTTCCCACAGCTTCTTGTTGTCGGTCATTCTTTCCAGCCCGACCATCTGATTGATCTTCGGTATAGAGCGATAGTTGACAGTTGTCGCTTGATAAGGGTAACCTATGCAACAGGCTGTTGGAAATATTCTTTGTGACCCACCCGTCCGCCAAGTTTCTGATCCGTATAGAAGAGCTGGCTGACTTGACGTTGTTTGTATTGAAAATCAAACCGAATTTTGTTGTTGATGATGGCTGAGTGACGTAGATTTCCAGATTGGTTTCAGGTTGATGGGTGAATGTGTTTCTCGCCAACCCACCGATTCTCGCTCGATTTGACATCCTCATCCGTTCCTCCTCCTGTAGTTGAGAAAATGCTTCCTAGATGAATGAATGTGAATGAAGTAACCTCTTTCAAATCCCTCCCGTTGATGGTGATTGACACTGGATGTTGCTGCTGCTGTTGTTGTTGTTGGTGGTGGTTGGTTGGTTATTTTCATAACCTCTGTCTTGTCTATGTTCACTTGGAGTCCTGTCTTCTCCGACTCCTTCTTCGACCAGTTTGTCGGTCGATTTTCGCTTGTAAGTCTTCGATTTTGTGACATTGCCATCAAGCATAAATCATCCGCAAAGGCGAAAACATAATGGCAATTAACTAACTCTATCAATACAATATAAAAATGCATCAGAAAGCAAGAAAAGAAAAACAATACTGAGGAAAGAAATGAAAGAAAATATCATGTGATAATCAATAGACGAATCCCCAATAAAAACACCACAATCACAGCATACGAGACTACTATTACCACTACTTCTCCTCTTCATATATTATTTATGCCTTGATGCAATAAATGTGATAAATGGAAAAAACAAAGAAAAATTATATATGTCACTTAATTATTTCTCACTTTCATCCCCCAACAACAACAACAACAAAGCAACAGAACGTCTTCTCACGTGAGCATAATACAACTATGGAAACATCATTTATCAAGCATAGCACATTCATCCCATACCCATACCACATGACAACTGAATGTTTG